CACTCTGAATTTCCACACATCTAACAGGCAATCAACCGTAGATCATTATGGACAATCCCATCTGGAGTCCAAAAATGCATGTTGTTATTAGAAATGTTGGCCCCTCTGTACATTTTTACTGCTATCTTGTGGACCATCAAAAAGGAAAACAGAAAAGAAACCAACTGTTGATACAAGAAATAAGTTATTGTTTCAGAGACAAAAGTAAATGTAGCAAATTCAAATAAACTTAAAAATCCATGAAACGACCCAGCATGTTGCTCTAAATTTGCACAGATGTTAAAAAACTTTGTGTTACCTTGAAGTGAAATAAGCTATTTTACTGTGGCACAATGTGGCTTTAGATTTGAGTTCATAATTGTCATTAACTAATGCTGAGTGTACAAGCGATGGCAAATATTATCCTGCTAAAAACAAATGAGAGCAAGAAGTCAAACAGAAAATGCAATAAATTATTTTTTAACATTTTCAGTCAAGTTTTTTTACTCTCTTAAGCCACCTTAACTTTTGGCCAAACTTGGAACAAAGGCTTGCTTCCTCCAAAGAGACGCAGCAACAACTCATCTCAGTGATATCTTTTGTTCATCTTTTTTTTTTTAGACGAAGCTCATTTCCTCGATAAAGTGCACTGTGGTGGAAAAAAATCCCAGATAACAGGAAGCTTTATCTGATTTGACACCAACCAGCAGTACATGGATGAAAGAGAGCAGATATTAAAAACTGATTGAGTTAAATCAGGTCAGTCGTTTGGAATATGATGAAAGGTGTGCAGTGTACAAAACTTCCAGCCTGAGGTGTCCTGACACGCCTCCGTGCGCTACAGTCCGATTTATTAATTACACACGGGCCAGCATAAGGTTTCAGACTCACTTAAGAAGAGAGCTGCTTCCTAAAAAGACAGGCCACCGCTGCTGAGGCCGGTCGGGTAAGAGCGGACGCTTATATAACTGCTGCCTCTGGCTGTTACACAACCAGCATGTCCACACAAATCTCACGTCCTGAGCGCGTACACACTCACAAAGATGCAGGACGTCACAAACATCCAGGACGCACTTACAAGACGAACGCCGTGATGTTCCAAGAACAAACGTACAAATGCAGTTACGAGTGTTTCTCTGCACACCGTGTCGATTTCGGGATTTTTGCGCCTCAATCCGGCTGTTTGGAAAGCTGTTCTCATGTTAACAGAAAAATCCAACACAATGTATGGAAGACGAGGAGATAGACAGGAGAGCAAACACAAAACAACACATGAACTGATCAATAGTAAACTGATTTGATAGAGAAAGAGACAGAGGATGTTTTTCTTTAAACTGTGCCAATGACTGTCTCAGGCATAAAAATGACTGATTCAATGGCTGCTTATTTATGTACGCACGACCAAAGTGAAATAGTTTCTACCCAATGCTTCAGAAATGTGTGAAAACATCTAAATTCGAAGAAAATTAAAATCTGTCTTTAAAAAAGTCTAATTATTTTTGCCATTTGGCTAAAAGAAATAATGCTAGCACTCTTGTAACAAGAAATGTTTCTCATGATTTAATGTTATAGTGACAATGATAGGTCTTATGTCTTTTTATACAATGTATGTAAGTATCTTGTTTTAACTAAAATAAACTACTCTTTGCGTATTTTAAAATTTTAAATGCAGATTCAACTAGCTGTTACATGAAAAGTTAAATTTTTACAAAGCAAATAAGACACATTTACCCAAACTGACACCCAACACAACACACACACACACACACACACACACACACACACACACACACACCACACACACACACACACACACACACACACACACACACACACACACACACGCACACACACACACACACACACACACACACACACACACACACACACACACACACATCTGTTATATAAGAGACTTCCCTGAATTAGTTATTAGGGCTGCTTTATTAGAGTGAGACAGGTGAGTTATAAAACGCTCCCGCAGGAAACGTGTGTCAAAGAAATCGTGAAGGACCATAGAAGGAAAACATGGCAAAGAATAAAGACAGATAGACGGTAAGGAGATAATGCAATAAGCAACAGCAGCAGAGGGGTGATGTGAGGTAGAACAGCACAGTTTGTAGGCCAGTGTGTCAACGCTGCCAAGGAGGAGGAGGAGAGAGATCGGACGAGGAGGATAGAGGCGGAGAGGACGCCTGCTGGAAGCTAGAGCTGGCCGACGGCGTGCTGGGCAAACTACAGCCTGTTGCATAATGTTCTTTGGCAGACAGCGTCCACCTTCAGCCCCTGTAAAACACTTCTGCTAAATCCCACCTACTAAGAAACAGATCTCTTAAACATTTTGAGGAAACTTGTGTCAGAACACATGACGCTATTTTAGATCAAAGAATTCCACATCTGTCTGAGTTTATTACGTACTAAGATGTAGATTTTTCTCTACCCGTACCAGCTCAAATAAAGATAAAAAACAGAATTACCAATAAAAGCTTTTCTAAGATGTTTCCCCCCAACCCCCTGATTTTCCTGAGTGGCGATCAGCACCTAGAACCTTCTGGATCCTTTCAGATTCAACCCGGTTTGCTGAATAACAGCAAAGGATGACTGAGCACATTTGGGCTCCCACAACCGATGACTCTGCCGGATGACTCAGATTATTGCATTTTATAACAAGCAAAAGCTGAGATATTAAACTGACTAAAACAACTTAAAAAAGACTGGAGCTGGAGCATTGTCAGGGAAAAACTCCACCCAAAGCACAACGGTGAAGATACAAGTTGGAAAAAACGTATTATACTACAAGAGGCCACTGTGACAAAAACACCCTTCACTTATAAAGACAATATTAAAAATTCCTGTGTAACTTTGGACTCCCAGGTTGTCAGAAAAGAACAAGCAATCTCTAGTTTGTCAACATCCTCTCCTGTTTTTGTACCATGCAGGTCTACTTTTCTGTTTTCTTCACTAAGCATCTCCTCACCCACAGACAGACTGTACTCACACAGGGGAAGGAAACACACACACAAGCTTACACACACACACACTCAGCACAATGAATTAGGAGGAGAACTGAGTGTTCTTTGGTCCTTATTGCTGCTCGTCATGACTCATTTCAGTAATAATGAATCATCAAATGCTCCAGCTCGCCAAAGTCTCCCAAATCAAATCTAAGCAAGTAGCGACATATGGACAAATGGACATGTGGACATTTGTAATTTCTCCGTATACGATCAACAGACATCCTTTTTTAAAGTAACGGCAATGTTTTAAGGAACATCCTGAATGAAATGTATTCAAACAAAGAGGAATCTATTAACATAACGTTTCATAAAAACGCATGCTGTTACTTTCAGCCATGTTTCTAATATACTGTTCACAAAAGTACAGACAGACACTTGGCCTTTCTTTCTGAGAAGTGTGCTATGTTTTGTAAAAAAAAATAAAAGTTAAAAGGGATGAAAGACATTTATGGCCTTTAGGCTGCGAGAAAACAACAGAGGAAGACTTTCAACCGGAATCTTGAGCAGAATACAGAAATATTGCTCCGTTTATCCTTTTGAGCTTTTCAGCCTCTTTCACTGAGCATGCTGGATTTTGAAATGTTGACAGCCTTTTGGAAATGTGAGTTAAGGTAAGGATCTACACTATAAAATACACAGACCCTGATGTGTATGTAATGCTGTCTAAGCCAACTGTGCAAATCCATAACAAACGTCAAATCCAGTTTTACACCAGGAAGGCTGGAAAACATGTTTTATTATAGAGACATCAGTCAGCAAACTCTATATTGGAAAATCAATACATTACAAATAATGCTGCTCAAAAAATGTCCGATCAATGTGAATCTAAATAACATGTATGAATGAAAATATTTAAACCAGAAAGACAACAATATTTACAGTCAGGAAAAGAAAAATCAGGTTGACGTAAGGATTGAAGCTATCTTGAAAATAATACTCCAAAGAGTAAAAATAAGTCATGGTTTATGTTGAAGTTGATGTTAAAAGTTCAGGCATTTCTGAAATACACTGCAAAACAAGAAAAGTAATTTAGGATTCAGCTCGGAGTAACTGTTGTGATGTGTCTCTTTTTTTTCTAACATTAAAAAAGGCAAAATAAAGTTTAACTTGTTGAACAAATCCAGCAACATTTTCAGAACTCACAAGCTCTTCCAGTTTTCAACATTTGTTCAGCTGAGCAGCACTCTCTCATGCTGAGCCCTCCTTCCTGTACGCCTGTCACGTTTACCCCCCTAACCCAGTGCTCTGCTGAACCATATGTTTTCCTGCTTCCACATGCTCACACTTCGAGCATGGCCTGAGCCTGCAATGCTCCACCAATCAGACACAAGCCGGGGTTTAGGTAATGATACGGGCAGCCAATGGGAAGGCGGGACCTAGACGACAGCAGGAGGAACAGGCTTTGTACGTGAGTCGAAGAGACCGGCAAAAAAAATAAATAAAAAGAAAAAAGAAATGCATAAAAAGTGAAGAAAGCAGACAACAACATCCGAGAGGAACGGGTCTGAAGACAAGTTGAAAGAAAAGAGGTTTGGTTGACACATGAGAAGACAGACCATGCTTGCTTTGGATCTGCTGTTACACAACAGTGTTAAGTAACTTAATAGTCCAGCAGTGAAGGATCTTCAGTTTTCTTCTCACCTTCTAGAAATATCCCTGTTTTGGGTCCTTTTCACTATTGAAGGTCTGTCGTTTTCTAAATTCAATGCCCTGTTCTGCCTTCAGTCTGTTCTTTTCTCCTGCAAACAGGATGTCGCATTGAAGTAGCTCTGCACCACACCGGCACAGATCATTATCTGTCAAATAAGCCACTGGCTGTGAATCATCTCTGAGTCCTTTATTCTCACGCTTCTCATAATCTAACCTCAAATCCTGTTTCTGCTGTTTTGTGTGAGATCCTTTCACTTATCTTGCATCCAAAACTTTCTGCAGATTCCTCACCTGGCTCTTCGCTCATTGCAGCACCAGTTCTTCTAAAAACGTGAAGTAAGCAACGTCACCTACCTGAGAAAGACTCGGATTCATCCAGAAGCAGCATGATTACTGCGGAAGGATAAGAGCTTGACTTCTCTGCCTTCCTGTCACACTGGAATCACTTTCTGTTTTGAGAACTGGAAATTAAAGGAGGAGGTTTATCTCCCTCCTCTCGGCCTAAATTTAATATGCAGCTGGTTTTTAAATCGGCAGCTTGGGTCAGTGACTGACTGCTCTGGCTGACCGCTCTGTGTGCTCCTCTCCACTCAATAACAACACTGATGTAAAGCAGGGGAAGGCAGATGAAGGCTTACATAACCCTGCATGCTGGAGCTGGGGCCCCATTCAGGGGGTATGTCTATGGGAGGGTCTGAGTGTCACTTTCTACCTTCCCCCTATTCCAAATGAAAGAAAAAGTGAAATGCACGCCCCCAGGAACACACGTAGGATATCAGAGCATGTGCGGAAGCAGTCACTTACAGTCATGCTGTTAATGTACGCTACACATTCTTAAGATTTCTTAGTCGTAGCAAGACACCAAACACAAAACTCTGATTCTGCCCATAAAAACATGCTGGTAACAATTACATTTACTGTTCAACAGTGTTAGAGCATCTAGGTAGTTTCTTTCTTTGAAGTAAGCCATATTGTGGCTACATACAAACTTAAGAGAGTCGACTTCTTTGTTAGCTGTGTTGTGCAATACGTATGAGAAGAAATATGGTTGCAAAAATCTGGGTCAAGGTTTCCAGAAATACCAACAAACAAATACCTCACAATACGGTATGTGCAGCTCGTACGTACGCTGGAAAATGAAAGGTAATAAGACAGTGACGCAGCTTTAGTCAAGCTAACATGGCTCATTTGATGGTCAGGTTGTCTGAAGCATACAAAAATACCCCCCAAAAAAGAGTGTAGAAACAAAAAGATGGGGAATACATGAAAACCCTTAATTTAAGACACCCGAAACACTCATTCACATTATTAAATATGCTGTTCAGTGGCAATTCTGCTTATTGAAAGTATGGCTGCGGGATGATACATGAACTTTCCTTGCAGGTTAAGGAAATTGGAAAGTTAGAAAAAAAAATCCCTCTGACAAAGAAAATTTGTGGATTCTTCTTAAAGAGTATATTTGACAAATAAATCACAAGAGGCACAGAAATCAAGCCAATAAATAAGGGTAAGTTTCAAACAGGAGTCTGTAGCATTTATTGTCAATGTAAGGAGGTGCACATGAAAGCTTGTTTTTCAGATTGTAAAATCTACCTTAAATCATTTATGTTTTATACAAAAATAGCCCAACAAATAATGAAACAGACCATGACATGTGTTGAAGATGAACTGTATTTTGCATATTTTAATTTAGATTTATTTTCTTTACACATAAGTCTGCAGTAGCTTAAGTGACTAAGTAACCTGAAACCTGATCAGTAAAATAAATCCCTTTTAACTCGTGGCTCCATGAGAGCATGACTCACAAAGTTAATTAACTATTTCTTTGTAAAGAATAATATCAAGTTAGTACTGCAAGTAACAACTTGACCTTAATTTCTAGGAACTACTGTGAGACTAGAGGCTACTTTATTCAACTTATAGGCTTATTTAATCAGATTTGTAGCAATAACACACAGAATGCTGTTATAAACCTTTCAGAAAATGTGCAACCTGTGATTAAATGCTGGAGCAGCTATTTGTAATCCAAAAACTACTCACAAAAACGATAGTAAAATTCAGTAACTCACTTTGACAACAGTTTATGATGAAAACAATGACAATTTGCATCCAGTCAAAAGAGTTTTTTTTAGAGTTTTTTGTAAACTAGGATTTTTTTTGGACAACTTCTGCTTCTATTTCATAATATGCCTTATGAAACGAGAGAGCTGTGCTCTGCCAGAATTGCACTGCACCACATGTAGGTCAGCATGAGAGACAAAATGTGTCTGATAAAAATACACATGGCAGAAATATGAACTTAAAGATGTGGGGGGAAAAGCTGACCGATGTGTGGAAACAACTGTCAGCCAACGAGAAGAGCTGACATACACTCAGTCTCTCCAAAGAAACTCCAGCTACTCACCCATGTCATGTGGCTGAAACTTTTTTGTTGTTGTCTCCTACTGTGCTGAGAGATCCATGTTCCACTTTAAAAACTAACTCCGGTTGGTGTATGCTCCATTTTTTCACAGCCAACACATTCCCTCGCTGGGCAAGTGTGTCAGAGTGTGTGAGCCTCCAGCCTCGTCTCGCAGTTTACCCGGCTCTCCGGCGAGGACGCAGTGTCAATGGGACAATTACAAAACAATGAGTCGCTGAAAAGGACCTCAGCCGGGCGAGTGTAGGAGCTCCCCCCAGCGCCTCCAGTGGCGCTGCCTTTCCTCTCCGCCTCCTCTTCTTCAACCTCCCCCCCTTTTTTTTTAACCAACTGACACAGAAGCCGATGTGACGCCAGCAAGCCACGCCCAACCCAGAGAGGCTGTCTTAGGTAACAGAGGTAACGGGTTCAACCAGGACGAGATGGACAGATGAAGAGGAGGATGGAGTATGAGAGGATGGACAAGGACGCAAGAGGAGGAGCAGATGAATGCAAAACAACGACAACCATGAAGGTTTCTGAAGCCTATTTATCTCGAAACCTGTAAGATGGCAATCATATATGAAATAGTTGACAGATGTAGGATGGCTTCTGAAGGAAAGACTTTAAAGTGAAGGAGGAGAAAACATCTGCAGTCAAGAAACATACATGTAATGGCCACTGTCTCAAGTGTAATACCAAGTTGGAAACATTCGTCAGAGATGTGGGTCTTCACCAGTGGTCTCAAACTCTAGTCCTCAAGTGACTTTTGATGTCTTTTCTGCTTCAGCATATCTGGCTCCAATATTAACTCATTATCACAGCTCTGTAGAGCTTGACTGGATCCTAGTGAGGCAGTTTCAGCATTTATTTCAAGCAGGTAGGGCCAGAAACACATCTAAAAGTTGCACGACTCTGGCCCCAAAGAAAGGCAGTTTGAGACTACTGGTCTATACTGAAATAAGACTGCATGTCACAGGTCCTGCATTTTTGTTGGGTGAATACCTACAATGCAAACCTCAAATTCCCAATTCACTCAATCCAAAATGTGCTCTGTTGGATTGAGATCTGGTAACTCTGGAAGCCATTACCAGACAGGGAATGTGTTGTTGTTTAATAGAAATCAGTCAAAGAAGATTTAATTGAGCTGGAAGTAGTCGTCAGAAGATGAATTCAATGTGGTCCTGAAGGAGTGACATGGTCAGCAACAATACTGATACAGACAGTGTATTAGTGTCTGTATTAGTCCCTAATACAGACACTACTATGCCTCATGAGGCAAACACAAAACAACAAGTATATCGCAAGAAGGAATCAATAAAGAGTAACACAGAGAAAAGACGCAAAGGAAGATTAAGCAACAGGAGCAAAACCACTTTTGTGGTCAGCACAGCTATTGGAAAATTAGCTTCTGGCTTCGGAAGACAGTATAACACATCATAAACTGTGATAAACACATCATAAACACCACATTTACTGCAAACTTCTGTACCATGTAAATGTCAAAACCCGATTCATAAAAAAGCGTTGATCAACGTGAGAAAATGTGAACAGCTTAAAAAAAAACACTTATTTTTGCTTTGTTTTAGGAAGAGATTGTTTTATGTTGGACACTTTTACAGGGAAGCCTCATGGGACCAACTATAGGAAAATATCTCAGAAGATTCTCTGACACTGGCACTTTTTGAAGCCAGGCCTCAGAGTGATCCACCCAAGGAGATGTGAAGTACTTCACTGGTGTGAAAGCGCAAATGCACAGAATGCAAGGCTGCAGGGTTTATTGTACAAGCATATAACAGCAAAAACAATGGCAGCCAGCTTTGTACTGGATGTGCTGCTTAACGTGCTCTAATAATGACAACATGGGTGTTTTACATGAGACCTTGGTTCACTGGGGTCAGGTAACTGTTTCCTAAAAGAGGTGTAAGATGGTGGGATGCAGACTAAAGGTCCAACATATCTCACCCTGCAAAGGATCCACGCATAGTTAAAGCGAACTAAATACAGACACGTATAAGACACTGAGTTGATAAGGTTGAGAATCACACAAACTGCCACTCTGCAACACTAACAGGTGGCCTGGTGGAAAAGAAACAAGGCTTTGCGCCCAACTAGCTCATAAAAATTGCTCGTATCACTTCTGATACAATAATTGTCGGAAATGAAGGACTGCAGGGTTTACACAAGGACGATATCGGTATGCTACACTATGAAGTCTCAACCATCCAGTGTGTGAGGTGTCTGCACAATTCACTAAATATGGACTGTATTCATCAGTGTAAGGGAGTCTTAAGGGCCAAAAGCGAATGTACATTTCAACAACATGCTAAGCTCATAGCACCATGTAGTGGCCTGGCATGACAACTACAGCAGATTCAAGATGTCCTGGTGGTTTCATCTGAAGATGGAACTTTTCCCCAATCAACATCTGAAAATACAGTTTCCAGACAGCAAACTCATGTAAACGTAGCCTATGCGTGAATAAGTAATGGACATAGCATCACAACGTCTTTATCCCATTTTCAACTTCCAAGAATCATCCCAACTGTTCGTACTTTTCTGAGGAACTACATGTATAAATGTATGTGCCATGTGAATGTGTTAAAATAGTAAGAGCTCTGTAACATATAGCGACGCAATATATACCTCTAGCTTTTTTAAATATTGCGATAACTGTCTGCTTTGTGATGGATGTGTTTGTTCTTTTCACTTGATTTATTTTTTGACTTATTTTTTTAAAATAATATGGACTATTTTATTTCTGTAAAAAGAAAGACCTATTTATTCCTGAAAATATATTATGCATAAAAGAATTACTCTGCAAAGAGAGCAGCAAACGTACAGGGTAGGTCACTGAACCCTTTGGCTCTGGGTTTTTCCTGCGCATGCAGAGATTAACCCCTTACTCCTAAAACCCCTACCTGTTATATAATGACTCCATTAGGACAGCAGTGTCCTCGTTTTGAAAGGAGGATTAATGACAAATTGCAAGGCAGGAAAAGGTGGAAGAAATTGCATATAAAGGAATAAAACAGGAACACAAACAGTCATAGAATTGGAGAGAGTTAATATGTGTATACCCTCAAGACCCTTGGATTATTATTCACATGTGTACAGGGAGGATGGGACGTGAAAGGACCACATGACTTCACTCTTCAGCCCACATCGCTGTGTGGGGG